GATCAATTTAGGGGTGGGTTGGGTATTCTTAACCCCCTAAATCGATCGATGATTTATTAATTTTGGCTGGTGCACCAGTGGTGCACCATATATTAGCTATAAGATTTACTAGAGTTAGGGTAAATTTTGCAGATCTGCTGGTGTACCACTGGTGCACCAGCCAAATTTAATAAATCGGTTAAGAGAATTTTAAATGCCGGTCGAGATTCGAGTTTTGGGGTTGAAGAATCTTCAGAAACTTGGTTACAGTAACGTGACCGCATGTACGACGACGTTTGGTGTTGTTCACATGATTAAATATTACACCCCATTCCGAAAAGGCCCCCATTTCGTTTTAATCTGATTTTAACTACTCCCAGTAGGCGTCACCAAAATTTCGCGTTTGTGACGTAATGATAAATGATATGTGACCAACGAAAAGTTTTGGGCAAATTTAAAGTTCCTCGCGACAGTTACCATCTTTTTTACTTCTGTTGTTTGTCAAGAAGTTTACCCGTTTTGAGTTTACAATAGACCCACTATTACTATGGAACCCAAGAATTACAGTATCATTAGAAGTATTTTAAAGGAAGCTCAAGGAGAAAAAAATGCCCGTTTTTAAATTCAATGATACCCAAACTCTCCAGAAATATCTCGTAATATGCTAATGAAGAAGAAATTAACTATTATTTAGATATACAAGGTTCATTTCAACATTTTTTATACGTTGTTTGTTTTAACTGACAGCCTTTTAACTATCGTTATATGAACAGGCCCTCCCACGTCAAAGGCCCCCGGGTCCCACCGGCGCTGATGATGATAGAGATGCGGGGTCGGGGAGCCCTGTTGCTGTTGCTGATAGAGATGGGGGTCGGGGAACCTTGTTGCTGTTGATAGAGACGTGGGGTCGGGGAACCCTGTTGCTGTTGCTGCTGGAACCATCGACTCCCCCCTCACAATCATTATCAACAACATCCCCAACTATCACGGAGTCGCCAATCGAGGTCGGAAGCCGCGTGAGTCGGTTCCGTAGTCCCGACGCCATATCCATCCGAGTACGATCTGTGCAAGTTGGAAGACGAAGACGACGTAAAATATATTTAAGGGGAAGTTGGTCCGAGTTGAAGTCGGTACAAAAACGCGCGGTGGGATGCCCCGCTTGATATTGAAGCGGTTCATTTAGTCCGAAGTTTGCACAAGCGCGGGGCGGTTCGGCAACAGGGAAGCGGGATATAAAAAAAATTGGTGTGTCGTCATGCCATTCAAGTCTTCTCTCATGGTTGATTTCTCGATATCCTGCCTGGGTGACGAGACGAGACGAGAAAAATTGCCTGGTGACGAAAAAAAAATTTTGCCTGGGTGAACGAATTACTTAATCTCCTCACCGCGAACCAATAAGTGACCAACTCGAATAATGTGCGGCTAATGTGTGGCTCTCCCCCGCGAATGAAGTGTGGCCCTACCTCAACTCGTATGTACAGGAACGCGCGGGTCACAGAGATATTACTTTCAACAATGGTCATTCGATATGATACGTGTTCACAAAAACAAATATCGTAATAACTGTTTAATTATTAAAATAACATGATTGTTTGATATTAATATGCATTATTATTTAAACATGTAAATATTATGAGATTATTAATATTAATGCTCATTGGTAATTTGATTAATACACACATTCGTAAAGCGCGCTATTACATTTATAACATGTTGCCCGAATATCTTGCTTCTTCATTGAGAA